AATCAGCAGGATTAAACAATAAATAACTTCACTTCTAAGATATTAAGCCAAACACTAGGATAAATGAGAAGTTACCGAGATTCTCCTCGTATCCGTGATATCCCATATCTTTCACTTCTTTGGACTCCTGAATATAATTGTTCCTATTTTTGAATCATTCACTATTGACTTTCTTACATAAGAATCACTGATTCTTAATCGAGAGTCTTCTTAAATAACTTTGGTCATTTAAGATGTAACTAACTATACGAGCTTGCTCCTTTTGGGAATTTGGAACTCAGGTAAAATAAATTTTATCAAATCTTTATATTAGGTCGGAAAACTTGTCGGTCATATTTACAATGTTTTGCAGATCAAACGGATGTTATGAATTTTGTAGTTTATATAATCGAGCCTTTCGTCAGGTAACATGCTTATTTCTTGGGATTAGGGTATTGCTTGAAAATGGATGCTTGATTATCTAAACTATGAAATATGTGGCATCTGTTTGGTCTCATATTTTTAAAAATTAAAATACTATTTTCCAAATAAAATTGCATTTATTTACATTAAATTAAATTTAAAGCATTTTTTTTTCAAAACTTTTGTCCGACATATCATTTACCATCAAACTTGTAATTCTTTTCTTTTTTCAACCACCTCATTGTTTTATATCTAAATCAATCCGTTGCATATTTTCTTAAACATTCATACTACTATTATTATTTATTTATTTTTTAGAAAATGGAAAGAATTATAAGGGATGGTTATTTGATATTTTTCTTAGGAAGACCAGCAGTTATTCCCAGATCTATTAGAAGAGCATCATTTAAATAATTAGTTTGAGTTGAATTTTTCAAGTAGGATGGAAATGATTTTGAGAAAAAGTATAAACTTTATTATTATGTATATTTGTGTTGTTTTGTATTTATTATTTTATTAAGGTTATTTTAGATTATGTCATTGAGTTGGCAATCTTTTAGTAGTTATTTTTTCTATATATGAAAATAAGTCTTTTTGATTAAAGTGGGATAGTTTGTGACCTGAATACAATTCATATTATGGCCATGTGGCTTGTCTTATTTTTCTGTAATGAGATTTTGAAATTTGATCGAATGTAAAAGTTGAAGAGTTTTTGGAGAGATTCTGTTTTTGTACGGGCACATCTTTACTTTTTTGTGACATCTTTTCATTGTTTTTATATTTTATTTTCTTTGGTTTTTTAGTTTTGTTATTGGTTAATTTGAGATTGTATTTTAGTAAGATCCATCAGAATTTGGATTTTGTTGATAGAGCGGAAGTTTCATCGCGCAGGTGCCATTCAGATCCTTAATTCAAATCGGTAATTTTAAAGAACCATTAATTTTTTACTTTTTAGTTTCCACTAAAAGTAACCTTTAGTTGTTTTAGATTAATAGCAGGCATTTTACATATTTTTGCATGCTTGCTATACTATTTTTTATGTTAAATGTTAGATCTGCATTAGACACTCCAAATATCAAGATGCCACACGTCAATTTTCTACCACAAAAGCAACCTATAAGCAATACGAAATGAACCCCTTTTAAGTAGGAAATATGGGTTTGGTGTAAAGTACTGAATTTTATTTGAAAACTGTAGCTGTTACACTTCATTATCAATTCAAATCTTTTATTGTTGCTATTTTCATTCTTAATCATACCCCAAAAAATTCTTGTTTTGGCTTAAACATTTGTTTCCATTCATGTGTTAATTGTTGGCTTGATTGTGCATATCATATCTATATTTTCTATTTAAAGTATTTTGAATCTATGCCAAGGATATTTAAAATAATTGAATTGTATTATTTTTTTTTCTTAGAGTTATATTAAGTAAGAAGGTTCCCTATACTTGGAGAATGATGCATGTTTTTTTGGGCGTTCCTTGGAATCTTATATTATATTTTGTATTATAAATAAAGGGTTTGTTTAGTGAATAAGAAGCCTATTTCCTCCAACATGGTGAATAAGATGCCTATTTGGTATAAAGTATTGAATTTTATTTGAAAAATGTAGTTGTTACACTTCATTATCAATCTAAATTCTTTATTGTTGCTATTTTCATTTTTAATCTTACCCCATATTTGTTACCTTTCATTTATGTTAGTTTTTGGCTTGATTGTGCATATCATATTTATATTTCTATTTCAAGTATTTTGAATCATATGGCAAGGGTATTTAAAATAATTGAATAGTAGTATTTTTTAAATAATTATATTATGTAATAAGGTTCCATATCTTTGGAGGGTGATGCATGTTTTTTGTGTGTTCTTTGGAATGTTATAGTATATATTGTATTATAAATAAATGGAATGTTTAGTGAATAAAATTCCTATTTTCTCCTCCAACATGGTGTTAGAGCTATGTCACTTTTTTTGCCCTAGTTGCCTTTTTTTTTTTGATTTTGCTGCACTTGATCCACATGCTTTTCCGCTTCTCAGTCGCTCAATTAGGCGATCACCGTACTTGCTCTTCTGCTTAGTATGCTTTCTCACATCCTTTGTCATGCTATCTATGTTGCTTGCAGCTATTGTGCACGCTCGTCCTCACTATCATTCTTTTAATCTTGATAGTCTGCTATTATCAACCGTTTTTCTTCTCCTCTTCTTAATTATCTCTTATCCATCTCCACACTTTATTCTTGTCAAATTCTTTTTTTTACCTTTACATTGGATATTTAGTTGTATCTATTTTATTCATATTTTTTATTGCATGATAAACTTATCTTCTGCTATTTGTTGTATATTTTTGTAGGTATTTTCACACTCAAAAGATATGTGCTATGATCCTCTTGACGTCTATACTCTCTGTTCTGTGTGATTTTTTATAAGACTATAACTTTCTTTTCTCACTCTTTTTTTTAGAACATCTTCATGACCTTTCCCATATTCTCCATAAGCTTCTATGCTTATCTTTATTGTTATTTACTTTCAACAAACTTGATCACCCTTTTAACAATGCCTCATACCATATTGTTAATTGGCACCTCCGTGTATTCAAAAACCTGCTCGACAATCTGTAGCCACTCAATGAAGTCATCCAGATTTATCCTCCCCTCGAAATCCGATAGGCTTACCTTCACTTCTAAGACTCTTTGTCCTCCGTACGTCATTTCGTCCCCCGGCCTCCTCTGATATTGAATCCTAAAGCATCTTCGCTTACTTTCCTCTTCGTTGGAATCATCCATAGGGAAAGTATTCAGGTGTTCCTCCTTCTGTCCTCCTTGAATCTCGCTATCGCAATGGACGATGACCTCTCCATAGGGGACGATGACCTCTCCATAGGTCCTTTCCTCAATTTCTGCAAGTTTTTGTTGAAGGCGGTGGAGTTTCTGCTGTACCTCTTCCATGGTAAGTTCTTGAACATTGTCCGACACTTGTCTCCACGGTGACATGATTAGGGTTTAGGTTTGAGGTGAAATGAGGGGTTTTATAGAGTGGGAAATAAGTTTTTGGTTGTTGATTTAAAAAAAAACACGCAAGGGGAAGAGTTTTTAGGTGGAGATTGAGGTAGGTAGTGGGTGATTTTGGTAACCCTAGAACAGAAGTAGTGTTGGACTAACTCTGACAAAATGATATTGGAGTTAAACCAAAATATAATAGGAAAATCAAATATTATTGTTGAATTCAAATAGAGAGGTACAACCATCAAAAGGAAAATTGAAATTACAACAAACAATGATACACGGCAATAAAATGGGGCTAGATTCAAGGTGGAGGGATATCACCCAGGGCTTGGAAGAGGGAGGGGGGGGGGGGGGGGGGGGGGTGTTCCTTTCCTCGACCCATATTGATTTCTGATCTGAATCACCCCGGCGGCTATGAGGGGCTGCAACAGGGCTAAGAGGAAGTAGAGGAAAGGTTTTGGGCCTGCTGAGATGGGTGGCAGCCAGGCTGGAAGGAGTAGGAAAACATCAGGCTTGCTGTTTTTCTGATTGTGGCGGTGAGGGTAAGAGAGTTGGAATGGCTGGAACAGCGGTGACAAGGCTGGAGGGAAACGGTGTAAGGTTTGGGGCGGCTATGATGGGCTGCAACAGGGCTAAGAGGAAGTGGAGGAAGGGTTTGGAGCCTGCTGAGATGGGTGGCAGCCAGGCTGGAAGGAGGGCTAGCAGCTGTGAGGCTGGGGATTTCAGGAAAAACAGCAATCGAGATGCTGTTCTTGGCAGCTGCAGCAGGGAAGATAATGACTACAGCAAAGGGAGGGATGCGGGGGAAGGGTGGATGAGGATAATCACCACATTGAGAGCGAGATACAACCGGAGCACCACCAGACACTTGACTATATAGCCTTAGAAGGGAAAACGTGAGATGCCAATGGCTGTTCCGAACAAACACAGTCAAAACTAAACCTAAAATGTCAGAAATGCAAATATATAACTCTAGGGTAGCTAGTAGTCGGCCCCTCTATTGGAAAGAGGGGGCATGCCTATGGTAGAGAGTGGTTCGACTCTCCACAAGACTTGGACCTATCAGTCGAGGCTCCTAGGTCGTTCAGTCTACACTCATAGCACTGAATAGGTTAATGAAGTTTATTATTATTTTGTCAAATCTTACTCTTTGTTTCATGTAGGAAGTGCCTAGAAGATCTAAAATTATTTCTTTAATTTTTAAAGCGCATTCTTGGTTGTTGCTGGATCTGTGTCCAGGATTATAGATGAGAGATTAAATCATACTTCAATTTCCTTCCTGAAAATTCTTCTCCCATCACCAATTTATTCAATAGTTGTAGTAGTTTTAGATATTTATTTATTTATTTATTTATTTTTTCTCTTTTTCTGTATGAATTTGTTTGTGCTGACCTGAGGGAGTGGCAATTGTGCATATGAAAGTGGCTGTTTATTTTTTATCTGAAAATGAAATAGCAGTTGAGTTTATGCCTATCTAAGCAATGAAGCTTGATGCACTTTACGGGTTTCTTTGGTGTTTTATGTGTGTTATGTATCACTTTCTTTCTGCATTAATTCTTTAATGGCGACTGATTTTGTTATCTTCCAAATAACCTTAGGTCTTGTTTTGGAAGAGGTTGCAAACGAAGTTATCATGTATCTTGTTTGGATCGGCTGTTGCCAGGTGCTTGGCTGTGTAACTTTTGTGTGAAAAAGAAATTGGAATCAGATGTGTACTCTATTTCTGAAGGAATAGAGTCTGTTTGGGACGTGGACAAAGGTGAGGATCTTTTAACCTCTCTGCTTTGCCAGATTTATGGAGCATCACTTTTTTGAACCATTAATTTCTAGTGTTATGGGGCTTACGGTGTTAGGAGTGCAGAATGGAAAGCGTTACTTTGTGAAATACAAAGGCCTTTCTCATTCCCATAATCGTTGGATTCCAGAAAGCGAGCTGCTTCATGAAGCTCCTTCACTTATAGCCAAATTCAGAAAGAAAGGCCAGAAGGAGGTCATCTCTCTCTCTCTCTATCTCTCTACCCCCACAACCACCCCCACCCCCCTCTCTACCCCCCCAACTATTTTGTGTTTTTGTTTTAGTTATTGACCATGTATTCTGAACACAAAGGGTGATCTCATATATATTTTTTTTGCAACAGCTTGTGGAGAAAGTTATCTTCACATTACATAAAAATACTACTAATATTAACTTTTCTGAAGTAAAATACACCTTTTTATTGCATCTGTTTTGATGTGATTGTGACACTAGAGTGTTACATAACTAAATATCAATGTTTAGGTGTTATACGAGTAAATATGTAAGAATTGTCTGGTATAAATCTAAATCTCTTTATAAATTATTATGATAGCACATTTATTGGTTTGGCTTTATATTAAGCAGGTAACAAAGTGGCGACAAGAATGGACTGAGCCTGAACGTTTGTTGCAGAAAAATTTAGTAGTACTTCCAGAAACTTCTTATGATTGTACATTAGGGCCTTCCACAGAGTCTTCAAATTGCTGCATTGAGTGGTTTGTGAAATGGAAAGGGCTCGAGTATGACCAAGCTACATGGGAGTTGGAAAAGTCGTTACTACTAGGATCGTCTGAGGCTCCAAGGCTGGTGGAAGAATATGAACATCGTCGTGAGCAGGCCAAGAGCTTACATCATCTGTTGAGACGTCAGAAGGTAGGATCAAGTACTTGGAATTCCTCGCGTGACTTTCATTTTTTAAAGGTTTCTTCTGATTAATTTTCCATTTTTCATGTATTTATGACATTGTGAAGGTTATTTTCTTCGTGTAACTATTCGTGTTATGCAGTCTACCAATTTGACAGCAAACCATTTTCCTTCTTTCATTGTTTAATTCTTTGTGATGCAGTAGTAATATTAAGCGGCTATTGGTTAAATACCCTTGGTTGACTTGTACCATGTTTTGATCTAAATATTTTTTTGATTTAGTTCCTTGGAGAGCGCGGTAATAATTAATTCATGATCGAGAAGACTATTTTTTAGGACAATATTTAAAAGCCTTGAATACTTGGTCTATAACCTTGAATAGCGAGCGAAATAACTTCAGTTTGGGAACTCTTTTATGGCTTTTAAAATTTTGAATTTACTTTTGCACAAACTTGACTGTTAAAACAGGAGTTCAATGACAGTAATTTCATGTGTCCTTGATTTGGGTTTTAATTTGCATACACCTCTCTCTCTTCCCTATGTGGGTGTTTGTAAATGAATTTCAATAAGTTTAAATGGGATGTACATCCATGCCACCCACCTAAATTTGGTTATGTTACATATTTAAATGCCACCAAAAATCTCATACAACTTTCTAGACAAACAGCCTGGCTAACTTCCACCAAAGCTTGCAAGTAAGTTTTGCTAAAGTAACCTCTCCTAGTTTCCCATCAAGAAACACCTTATGTCATAGAGTGATTGTCGGCTTAGCATACTGTTTTATTTGTTTAGATTTTTAGTACTTTTTTCATTTTGATACTTATTTCAACCATGATTAGTGAAGGCCAAAGTGGCAGTTATGTAGAAAATATTGATTCCATAAACAAAGTTTGAAGTTGTAGGTGTCAACTTTTGCAAAATAAAATATTCTGTTGCCCTTTTGTTTTGAATCTTACTTCACTGTTTAGTTTTATATTTACTAAATGCACAAATTTTTTTTTCAAAAGCTACTCCTGCCTATTTGATTATGGGTTAATGCTCTAAATGTGAGCAAAATGGTTAAGATTTTTATTCATATATTTACATTGTGCGGTTTAGATGATGGCAATGCCGAACTGTTGCGGGAGCTTACTAGGACACGGTACTGTAGCTGCTATAATACCACATTCTTTTTCCTATTTGATTCTTTTGCCTTGTCTGACCCTTTCTTTTTTAGCACTTTCCTGGTCTATCTCCCTCCACATTTTTTTATTTCTATTCCCTACCCATTTTGTCTATTATTTCTCATTATATATGAGTGCTGTTTGCTTTGGTTTGGGTCGGTTTTTGGTCTTCCAGATTTAAAATTTATGCTAGGACAGCCACCAACATCCATTTTTCCTTTTTGAGGGCTGGATCAGAGGTAAAGGTTGGTGCTCCAGCTATATCTCTCTGCCGAGGTGGTAATTATTTTTCTCTTATTCTTTTCCACATCCTTCCAAATCGCTCCCTGCCATCGTACCTCGATGCAACTGCCCGCTACAACACTCGTATTGTTGTTTTTTTGCAATCTTCATTTTACTAGTCTTCTCCCCTCCCTTCCAGCATTGCTGCCACCCAAACCGCACCTTTCTACTGTTCCCGCCCACCCAATGCGCTGCTGCCGCCCACGATAGCCAGTGAACTCTCATTTTTGCTATTCCACTACTATCAAACCCAACTCCTCGCTGCCGCCATCCAGGACAACAACCATACATGTTGTCTCAGCATTTTGGAACCCTCTTGCTGCCACTAGCAATCCCTTGTTGCCACCACCCCTGCCAGTCATTCCGAACCAATTAGTCGACCTACACCACTATTGGGATACACTTTAGTGGCGTTTGCCTGTGTCGTGTTATTGTCTTTCTCTTTTTAAGTGTGCTGGTTATAATCATCTATTTGCTCAACTAATAATATTTACTGTTCTATTTTGGTTTGAGTTAAGTCCAGTGTCATTTGGTCTCAGAGCTAAGTTAACCCTAGTCTAATTCTAAGGTTTCATAGCATCCTCCCCCACCGAAGCCACCACCACCAAAAAATTTTTTTTCCTATTCCTAAACCTTTGACACACTTCGACCTAACCCTAATTTTTTTTTAAATCAACAACTCCAAACAACTCCAAATTAATTTTTTTAATGCCGTTGATTAATCTCCTAGACCCTCTTTCATCTCTCAAAAACCCGAGAAGAGTTACAACGTGGGATACGCCGATTTCAACGGAGGCTTGCGGACATTGATGATGAAATCCAGGGGGAGATTACACTCAACCGGGATCGAGAAAGTTGAAGAAGTGAAAAAAACAAGAATTTTTACCCCTTCCGTAGGGAGGATATCTGTGATGAAGAATAAAACCCAGACGTTTCAACTCTAGTCATGCCACCAAGGAGATACATGCCCGAACTTACTTGGAAATAGATACAACGAAAGATCTGTCAGCTTCAGCGGGGGCTTGCGGACAGTAAGGATGAAACCCAGAAGTAGATTCCGCTCAATTTGGATTGGGCAAGCTGAAGAGGAGAAAGAGATGAGAATTTCAACCCCTTCCATAGGGAGGATTTCAAAAATGAAGAAATGCCAAGACATTTCAGAATCTAGTGTTAGAGGAGGCCGAGAGAAGAGTCAACATATGGAGAATGAGAAAATCTGAAGATGAAGCAAGAGATCCAACGCCAGTTCCTACGAACTTAATATAGATAGAAGGTTTAGACTCTAGCTTTATATGTGGAGAAATCATATCACCGGACAACCACCATGTCTTACAGGCATAGCTCAACCGCAGAGTCTTACATCCATATTACACTTAGGCAACACCTAAGATGACTCCGTCAGAGGAAAGGTTGATTCAGAGCGGAGAACAGGTGGAACTAATTCGCATCCCTAAATCTGTCAAAGCCAGGAAGTGTTCAAGTGCCACAAATTTGAGCATGTTGAATCAGACAACACAATCAGAGGATTATCTGTTTCACCGAGCAGGACGCTCTTGAAAAGGTGGGTAATGATAGAGTAGATACTGAAGACGATGATGACACAAATGAGGAGGAACAACTTCTAGTTGAGGAGGAAATGTTGCACATAGTTCCAGCTGATCCCGTGGGAGTGAGTTGAGCTGACTACAATCTTGAGTTCATGGAACTGACACCAGGGCCTGACAAGCTTAGGTAACAGAACTCAGGACCATTCAGATTTATGGACTCTCATTCCCGAGTTTCCTATACTTAGGAGGTCCAACACGTCATAATTGGGGCTTTTTTGTCCCATGTCAGAAATATTACATAGAGTTATTCAGTTGTTAGATTCAGTTCAACATGTTACGTATCATCTGATGTTCAAACAGGAGGATGAACCCATCATTAAAGTTTTCTTAAGAGCTTGATGGGGAAGGGAATTTTTCAATGAGATCCATGTCCTATCAATGAAAGAGATGTCTCTCCTGAGTGACTGCTAGAGAGAGTGGCGCAGCCTGCTACAGATTTCATCCCAGAGTTAATTTCACCTCATATACTTGTTTAGCATCTACGTTCCGCTGAGTACGAGAAGGGGAAGTAGGCTTCAAACTTAAGGGCTCGAGAGTTAGATTGTGAAAACTAACATATCTATGCAGCTCTAGCTTAGGATATGGCCAAAAATGTTGCATATTTATTATATCAAGACGAGCTGTGGAATGACAATGCCTATAAGATTGATTTGCCAAGAGATTACATGTTTTCGCTGCGATCAATATTGCGGACCTAACTGCATACTACAAGGACCTCGAAGCTTCGACAAATGAAGTCAAAGCTTCCCCAATCCCGAGAGATTGACACGGGGAATTACCGGGATGCTGTATTGTAGCTGCTACAACATTACTGTTCCTTTTTTTCTATTTGATGTCTTGTCTTGTCTAGCCCTTCCTTCTCTAGCACTTTTTTTTTGTCTACCTCATTCCTTTTCCAACACATTTCTATTTCTATTCCTTACCCATTCTATCTACTATTTCTCATTATATATAGGTGATGTTTGCTGGTTAGGGTCAGTTTTTGGTCTTCTAGATTTTGGGTTTTTGTCACGACTAGCCAGTGACGTCCATTTTTCCCGTCGAGGCCTATATTTGAGGGTTTGAATTGTGCTCCGGTTGTATCTCTCTCCCTAGACGACGATTATCTATCTCCTATTCCCTTCCGCACCCTTTCACATCACTCCCTATTGCAGTACCGCACTGTAGCAGCGTGCAACAACACTCTTATTGCTGTTTTCTGCAGTCTTCAGTCTACTAGCCGCCTCCCCTCCCTTCCAGCATTGCCGCCGCCCAAACCTCACCTTCTATTCCAACACATCCACCGTGTTGTTGCCTCCTAAGACAACCAGGGAACACCTTCTTCCTGTTGTTACGCCACTATCCACCCCAACTCTATGCTGACGCCCGCAACAACAGTCGTATTGTTGTTTTCTGCAGTTTTCAATTTACTAGATGCCTCCCCATCCCTTCCAGCATTGCTGCCGCCCAAACCTCGCTTGCCTTCTATTCCAACCCACCAGCTGTGCTGTTGCCTCCAAGGACAGTCAGAGAACCCCTTTTTCCTGTTGTTCCACCACTATCCAACCCAACTCCTCACTGCCACCATTCAGGAGAACAACCATACTTGTTGTTACTGTATTTTCACATCCCCTCACTGCCACTAGTATTCCCTTGCTGCCACCACCCCTGCCGGTCATTTCGATCTACTTAGTCGGCCTACACCACCCTTGAGATACACTTCAGTGGTGTTTGCTTTTATCGTGCGATTGTGTTTCTTCTTTCAAGTGTGTTGGCTGTAACCGTTTATTTGTTTCCAGTAATAATATTTGTTGTTCTATTTTGATTTGCGTTAACTCCGGTTTACCTTTTCTCTTACTATGAGAAAAAAAGGGAAATTTATACTCGCTGACTATTAAAACTGTTAATCAACATGTTTCTAATCATAATGTATATTACTTTTCTCAGCGCGTCTTAATTAGTTACAACATCCCTTGAA